AATAATTATTTCACACTACAGGCCAATTTTAGGAACTGAAAACGTAAAGTCATGAAGTGATGACAAATGTCATATTAGAATATGATTCACAATTATATACACTATCAACATGAACTGGTGCACTCCCCAGTTCTTAAACCAAGTACCAAACCAATTATCAATACCATTCAAAGTTAAACAAAACTCCACCAGAGCTCAGTTTCACACCTGAGGTTTTTAATAATGACTTTGTAATCTTCTGTGTAAATGTGGCAATTGCCTTGCTTCCTAACTAGAAAACACTTTCCCCTTTTAGCCCATTATGGAGCTATAATCCTTTAACATAGTACTATACTACTAAGTACTATAATAATATAAAGCATTTAGAATCATCAGTGCAACAACAGCTGTGAAAGAACAGTTAAAAAAAAGAAAAAGAAACTATGATCTAATCTGATTAAAACTTATTAACTCTTTAAGAAAAATGTCCCTGTGAATCTCTTCTTAAAACAGCTACACATTCCCTTACCCTCACTCGAGAGTGGACCATTCCCTTCCAGTGCTCCTACAGCACTCAGTATATCCCTCTTATATAACACTAGTACATAATATTGTAGTTATTTACTTATATGTCTGTATCCCCCACTAGACCTGAGCTTTTTAAGAGCAAAGGACTCTTACCACCTTTTTGCTTAGTATGTACATAGACCTTCAAATGCCAGGTCAATAAATTCCTAATTAAATAAATAAATGAAGCCCAAGAAAGTGTGCTTTGGAAGGAGGGGTATATTTGTGGTGGGTTTATTGAGGGGAGGGGAGGTTGAATTTAAAATATCCATGCAAATGGAGATTATCTGTGATTAAATGAAGTCAATATCTGACCATAAAGCTAAAATCTTAAGATTTTACACACTGTTGCAGAGTTTAGCCAGAATTCCATTAACAGCATGTAGGCATGTGACCTATCCTTGTAGAGATCCTAAAAGAACAACTTCAAATCTCCATTCTTCTCCCTCCAGCAGCTCTCATTTATTTTCCTAGAAGCCACCGTCCACAGGGATCAAGGCCCTCTACCTCCCCTGACCCATCAGATGCAATAAGAGCAGTGTCTACGAACTGTTCTACTTCACGCTGGGGAACACTTGCTTCTACCAGGCACTAAACCCTTCTCTGCTCCCAAGTCCACCCACCTCCACCTTTCTTATGCGCAAGGAATCAGGCATAAGAAATGATCTGTTAAACACCAAACAGCACTTGAGACACTTAGAAACATAATCAATGTTAAGTAGTCATTGTGGGGGGTCATAAGAATCTAAGCTTCCTTTATATTAAATCAACAATATAATATTGCTTATATTGTTAAATTTCTCCATTCTAAATAACAACTTCACAAGTAAACTTTAAGGACTCCAATTCCTATGCTGAGGACTACCTATGGCTTTGGAGTATCAGTAAACAGTTGGTCTGTTAAACAACTGTGATACTTCAAATCAGTTCTAAGTGATAAAAAAAGCTAGAATGTGAGTGTGTGAATAACCTTTCAAAGTTTTCAGTGAAGTTCTATGAAAATAAACACATGTGCCCTTCACTGGTGGCGCAGTGGTTAAGAACCAGCCTGCCAATGCAGGGGACATGGGTTTGATCCCTAGCCTGGGAAGATCCCACATGCCACGGGGCAACTAAGCCCGTGCGACACAACTACTGAGCCCGCACCCTAGAGCCCGCAAGCCACAACTACTGAAGCCTGTGCGCCTAGAGCCGGTGCTCCGCAACAAGAGAAGGCACCGCAATGAGAAGCCTGCGCACCGCAACGAACAGTAGCCCCCGCTCGCCACAATTAGAGAAAGCCCTCACACAGCAACGAAGACCCAATGCAGCCAAAAATTAAATAAATAAATAAATAAATTTATTTTTAAAAGAAAGAAAAGAAAAGAAAAACACATGTACACCATCCCCACCTTCATTAACCTAGAAATAAACTTCAGATATTACAATTCACTTGGAGAAAACTTGCTGGAAGAGGAAAAAAGGTTTGCCACAAGGTTAGGTAATTAATAGGCTGCAAATTATTTGGTATACCTTCCAAAAGTGCCTCCGGTGTGTACTAGAAGCAAGCAGCTTAGGAGGGCCGGGTGTAGTGAAGTTTGCAACTGATCTGTCCTCCAGCAGCTGACTGATCCACATGGGCACTGATAGCACTCCACTGAGATAAGTGCTAAGATGGCAGAACTCCTGCCAAAAACAGGCTTATCCCAGGAGCAGGTAAGACAAATAGGGTTCACACTCCTCTCTTACTTTTTAAAAAAGAAAAAGTTTCAGAAAAGTGATAACTCTTGTTCTATCACAGTGCGAACCAAGTCCCTTTTGGTTTAATCATATAATGTAAAAGATCCTCACATAAGTATACACTTGAACATATAACTAAGTACTTAGATATATGCTCAATAATGTACTTAGGAATGGCTATGTTATGAACACTACTATGGAAGTCTAAAGCTTTCAATTCTGCCTATCCTGAAAAGCTATTTTCTACTTTAAAAATGTGTAAAATGAGTCATATGCAATAGGAAATCTTTTGTAAAGCAGAAAGTTTTAAAGAGAAATTGTTACCCCTGTGTAAATCTTACCTTTCAAGAAAAGATTTGAATGAGAGTTCCAACTATTTTGTTCCAAGTACTTAAATACTTCAGGGTTTTTATTTCTCCTACTAAAAATATTTGTAATCAAAAAGTACTGACAAACATAGCTACTGCCGACTAAGAGTTGTTTTTCTAAACCACCTGTTTTTGCAATAACCACCCTATTTCTATAGCTATTCTAGAAGCCTAAATGCCTAACTAAACTTAATACTGTAACACTGAAACAGTCCTAATTCATTAACATCTTAATATAGATCAAGTGCCTTCCTTACTTATTTGCACAAAACAAGTGTTAAGTAAAACCTAGAAAGCACAGTTGCCTTCCAACACATCCTTGCTGCTGGCTTAAATTTGCCAGATGCCAAAAATATTTCCCACCCTAAAAATCCAAGCTTCTTCATTAATTAAAAAAAAAGGTTTAGTAATCACTGAAAACTACTTATTCAGGAATGAAATTTTTACACAATGGAGAACATGAAAGCCTAACTTTCATACACACTACACAACATTATACTTTTCTAAATTATTCCAAGATTTAGTTATCAACTGTGTTGATAACTTTCAAATCTAACTTTGGGGACAGATAGAGCCATACTGTCTATTTTATTTATTACCTTTGCAATATCCAGATGTGATTCAGAATGAAAAACACTGCTGCAGTAATTTACAAATGGCTTTATGAAAGGAATAAAATGATGCACCAAATGGTGGGGGTGTGAAAGGACTGTTCTCCTCTAAATGAAGAAAATTTCTGTGTCCTCTACAGGAGGAAAATGAGAGAGGAAGGGGCAGAAGAAAGTGAATCTAAAACGTATAACTCTTTGCTTCTTGAAACATATATACTAGTGTGTAAAGTATAACTTTCATAGGGGTCACATACTTATTTCAAAATTCGCTCTTCAGCAATGAGCAAATTTCTGGGCCAGATGTTGAAAGTAAAAAGGAATTTTAGTCTAATAAGCAATAAAAGCTTGAGTATGGATTGCAGTGTTTATCTTTTTTTTAAAGGATGCACCTGTCATTCCCATTTTAGGTTGATGACTTTGAGTCCAAGGAAAACGGTCCTATTGTATGCCTGCCAATTCTCATGTGCCTTGATATTTCACTTACTAATTACACTTACTAATTAACTGGACCTCATCAGGAAGATATTAATGATGGTTCAGACACTCAAGAGAGTCGCATAACCTCCATAACCTCCGAACGCAAAATACTTCGCAGTCAAAATACTTTGCAGTCAAAGAGACCTATCTGACTCAAGAGGGGTGGGGATAAGCAGGGAGTAAGGGAGTATATGACACGAAAATCTGGCCAGAGCACCTGCGCCCAGGTTTTAGACACTTACTGGTTTGCTAGGGTACACGTTAGACAGATGCGTTTTTAGTTTCCCCACGGTCCAGTTCAAGAAGCACCTAATAGTCTGGTCACTGTATTTCTGATTCGGTGCTTTAATGATGAGGGTCACAGGAATCTCCATCCCATTTTGGTCCATGGTGCCTCCAAGGTCGAACAGAGTCAAGAGGAGCAGCAGTTAAGCCCAAATGAGCCGAGGTGGTTACTGCCGGCGCGGCTGGGATGGGGACGGAAGCGAATGAGTTCTTATTCCTTGTCCAAGTCAGTCACAAGTGCATCGGGCGATACAAAGGCCATTGCCGGTGCCAAGGATGATGGCCAGGGGCGGAGGCGGCGGCGGCGGCGGGGTCTGGGGGCCCGGCCGGGGGTGCAGTTTTCCCCGCCAGGTTCGGGCTCCGCCGGGCTCCGGACTGCAGAGGGAAGCCAAGGGGAGAGAGAAAGCGGTGAGAAGGTAGAGAGGGGTGAGGGCGCGACAGCCCGAGCCACCGCCCCGCCCCGCCCCGCCCCGCCGCGACCCCTAAGCTGAAACGCAACAAGGCCCCGACGCGACGGCCCCGCCACGCGGGCTGGAGAAGGGGACGGGCCGCTCAGGGCGGCCAGCCGCGACAGGCAGGGCTACCTGAGAGATGGCTGCGGGGCCCGCCACCGCCGCCCTCCTCCCCCGGGCACGGCCACCGATCACACAGTACGGCCGAGCGTCCTCCGCGGCGGCCGCTCCCTTCCTACTGCTCGGCGGCGCCCACGGCCCGGCCCTGGATCTCGCGAGGCGGCGCGGCGGCAGCGGGAGAAGTTGGCCGAAGGGCTCTCCGCCTGACCCCTCCGGCAGGGCAGCTGGAGCGCAAGGCGGGGCGCGGCCGAGACGGCGACAGGTGGCAGGAGGGCGGGGACTAGAATAGGGGCGCCGGCCGCGAGCGCGCCTGTTTTGTTGTTGTGAAGAAGGTCCGGGTCCCCTTTAAGCCGGAAAACGCAGGGCGGAAGTGCGTCAGGGGCGGCTCGCCCCCGCGCGCTGCCCTCCAGGTCCCGCCGCCGACCGCCCCTGGCGGCCCAGGGCGGCCGGTGCCGAGTTCTGCGTCGCCTCGAAGTTAGTCGGGCGTGTCGAGCCCGCCAGGCCAGGCCATTCTCTCCGCATTGCCTCCCCAGCGGTACTCGGGCCTCCACTCGCTTCGCTGGCGTTAGCACATTCTGTTTTGACCACACCCGGAAGACTTGGGAAGTGTTCCTCATCCTTAGAGCTGTCTCTTCAAAAGTTAGTGTCCTTGCTGATGCTCAATCAGACTTCTGACCATAATTTCTTGTGTCGACTGTCTGCAAAGCACGGTACCTGGAGCTTTGGGGAAGGAGGGACTGGGGGTACATTGCATAAGGAGAAGGCTTTCAGTCTACCTCTACTTTCCGTGTGACCCTGGCTAACCTTCCTGAGCCTCAGTTTACTTCTGTAAATGGGGACGGTAATGGCCACCTGACTGTGTGCTGTTGATTAAATGAGCTATGTAGGTAAGCCATCTGGTACAGTTCTGGCGTATATCAGTCTCTCAACTAAATATTAATTTCCATGTATTTCCTCTCCGTTTTCTCAAAAGTTGGCAAGTGTTTGTTTACTGAGCACCTACTGTGTGTTCAGCACAGTGGGAGATGAAGACGGTTGGCAGTGTTATTTTCTGGTTTATGGTTTACACGTGGGAACGCGAAGTTTCAGGCTATTGCCCAAAGCCGACTTACTCTCCATTTTCTGCACAGGTTTAGGAGTCAGTGCAGTAAGTTGAGATGTGCATTTGCACAGGTCCAGGCTTCCACTTATAGGTGAATACAAGCAGATAATGTAGGGGGCTTTGGAGACCTGGTCTCTTCCCCTCTCAGCTGCAGAGGAGTTAGTGAAAGTTAGAGACCAAGAGGAAATTCTTCCTCTCAACAGCTAGTGCCCCAGGATCCCTTACACCCTCTCCTCCTTCACCTCTTTCTTTGTGATAGGACACCTACCATATCTTAGCCATACCCTCTCAATGCTCTTCTAAAATAAGAGTGAAGTTTCCTTTATTTCTTGTCATGGAATGAGAACAGTTTACTATGACTTGGATTTCCTGTAGCAGACCCTTTTTCTACCTAGTATCTAGTCATCTTAATAGAACCTTAACTTAATTCTAGCTACAAGTACTTTTTCTAGCTCCCTTACATCTAGCAGCAGCCATTCGACACACCTGTAGCCCATAAGATGAAAGGTGAAGTTGCTACTGGGGCTTCCAGGGGAGCTTTCAGATGAACATGTTCTGCAGACCAGAGCTCATCCTTGCCCTCTACACCTGTCTTTCTTACTGGAGGAATGTGATGCTGGCAGTGGGGCAGCCACAGCTCAGTCCTGAAGCAACAAACAGGAGAACAAAGGCCTGTATTACAAGGATGGCAGAACAGAACAATTGAAAGAGGCTGAATCCTTTATAGCATAAGTGTGCCACCATATAAGTCCCAAGCTGTCTGCTCTAAGAATTCTTTCATGTCCAATTCCTGTTTAAGGCAGGAGGAAGTCTCCCCAACCGCAACTGCCACAAGCACCACCACCCAAGCCTGCGGCTCCTGTCACTTATGCCTGTGACTCACACTTCCGGGAACCCCTTAGAGTAATGTGGTCATCCCCCTTGGCACTCTGAAATGTACATTATTAATGAGATATATATTAATTAATATTGACAGAATGTGCATTTCACTGGATAGACACTACTTAAAGTAGAGTTCATCAGAGGTTCACTAACATGGACAAAATCATTTTAAAATGTAATGAACATTCAAGAATTTGAAATATATGAGTATAAAGATGATAGAGTATCTGATAGAAATGATTTTTTTTTTTTTTGCTTTACAGCCACCTGAATTAACAACCTAAAAATGCTTTTGATGCTGTGGAACTTGCCCACAATAAAAACAGTATGTAAATATGATCCCATTTTTGTTAAATTACGTGTATGTGTTTATAGAAAAATGTATGAAAGGGTAGTCCCTAGACTATTGATAGTGTTTAACTTGGAATTTGGAGTAGGAAAAACAGCATGGAGGGGATGCAAGATAGCAGTTACTTAGAGGCTGCTGTGAGCTGTTTGTTGTTCTTTGTCCGTGTTGCACATAAGAAGGGGAAATGTGAAAGAACAACTACACATCTCAGTTACCATTTGCTACTTAAAGACAGCCTCTAATGAGAATGCTTAAGGGGAGGATGCTAATAGATAATAAAGGATTTGTGATTGTTAAGGCCAAATCTACTTTAACAATATTAACTGTTCAATACACATAATTTTAGTAGCTAGTTCAGTAATTCAGGGTGATTTCTGCCAATGGAGTAACTTTCTTTGTTGACAAAGTAAAATACGTAAAGAAAATTATTTGTAAATAATAAAACTGATTTCCAGTATTTGTGGGATATTTACTTCTAATTCTTTTAATTGGGAAGGAGGACAGCTAGAAAAGCTTATATTGACTCCTTCTGTGAGATTCCAGTTTCTTTTAAAATTTTAAAGAAAATAAAGTGCTTATTACTGAGCTTTTCTTACTAAAATTTGGAATACCTTCCAGGAAGGTAAAATACTTTATGATGTTGAATAATATAGTTTTCAGTGTTTTGGGTTTTTTGTTTTTGTTTTTATGATAACTCTCTTGGGAAGAAAGACTTTAGTCAAGTGATGATCTTGCAGTTGCAAATTTCAAAGATGATGATAGCCATCTGGCTTCTGATTGATTCCTTCTATTTCTATTTACACCAAACTTGTCTTTTTTTTTTAAGATGCTGTGCCACAAAGCATCTAATCAAATCTCAATCAAATTTATTGTTTAAAAACAAGTGAAATCCTACATTTCAAGCCTAGGAAAATTAGCTCATTTCAACACTGCACTTTCAAAATCTTAATTGGTCCCAGATGTTTGATTATAAACCATATTGTAGAAAATGGAATGAAGAAAACCACACATGCATTGAATGCCAAGTGGGTGATTTAAGTGATGTGTCATTTAATGAATTTTCAGAACAGCCCTGAGAGGTAGTGAGGTCAGTGAAGCTCAGAAAGGCTAAATGTCTTGCCCCAAGTCACACAGCTAGTAACTTCCAAATAGAATTCTGATTCCTCTGTAATACACACTCTTTCCACTACACTGAACTTAAAGATATTCATTCATAACAAGACACATTCAGGAGGAAAAGGCTTTCAGGAACAACATCTTAGAGGTCATCTAGATCAGCTTTCCAAGTACTGCCAGAATCACTCTTAGGACATCTCTGAAAGGCAATCAGCCAACTTTGGCTTAAACTCTTCCAGGGAAAGGGAGCACCATAGTTTTCACTACAGCATGACCTATTGTTAAACAGCCATGGTTATTATAAGTGAATTAAAATCTGCATTGCTATAATTTGTCATTAGGCCACTTTTCTCCTCTTGATTAATTCAGAATATGTTTACTTTTATTCCACGTCTGCCCTTCAAATGGTTAAATGCTGTCTACATCTTATCCAAACTAAACATCCCCAGATTCTTCAACCATTCTTAAGAATAGTTTCCAGATCACTCAAAACAGTGACTCACCTTTGAACACACTACTTTGCATAGCCCTCCTCAATTATGGTGACCATAATGAGCATTTCGACACATGATTTCCCTAGAATAGTCTTCATAAGGACACGTCTATATTTCTATTTCTGTATTAATATAAATCTTCATAAGGTAGTTTAGCAGTTGGATTTCCTGCTTTTCAGAAACTATGTATCTAGTCAGTTCTTAGAGCGACCATTTGGGTAAGACAGAAGTCTAATTTCTCTGATGAGTTAATCCACTGACTTATTTATCATAACACTTGGAGAAAATTGTAGCAAATAGCATCTCACTGACCTCCTTTAGGTGACCAGAGGAAGGGGGGGAAGGGGAAATCCCTTATATTTTTCATCCTCTAAAGAATTTTGACCTAAATATATGTATTAGTTATTTATTTCTGCAAAACAAATTGCCCCTAAAACTGGGTCAGAATTTTGGGAGTCTTTGCTGTTGGTTCTGGTTTTGAGTCTCTCTTGCAATTGCAGTCAGGATTTCAGCTGGCATTTGGTTATCGGAAGGCTTGATTGGAACTGGAGGATCTACTTCCAAGATGGCTTACTCCTAAGGCTGGCAAGTTGGGCTGGTTGTTGGTGTGAAGTCTCTGTTCCTCCCCATGTGGGTCCCTCCACAGGACTGCTTTTGGATGTCCTTACAACCAGACAGCTGGATTCCCCCAGAATGAGGGAATCCTAGAGACCAAGGCTGAAGCAGCAATGCCTTTCATGACTTAGTTTCTGAAATCTTACATTGTCACCTACATGGTGCGCTATTTGGTCACATAGGCCAGCCCTGAGTCATTGTAGGAGGAGAGTAGTATGAGCATGAATACTAGGAGGTAAGGACCTCCTGTCATACTGGAGGCCAGTTACCATAATGTACCTTACCAAAGCATAGCAGGTCATAATGGATACCCTGTTCCTTCTGTATGCAGCTATCCAAGTCCAAATCCCAATAGTAACCTTGCAGTTGGTTCACAACTGCATGCCCTTCCTCTGGCATTTAGCCTCTCTTCCCAGAGCTGTTTCACCAAGTTCCTCCCCCCAAAATTAGAACTATCTAACTCTATTGGCTATATTTCTCAAATGTTTATAAATGTTTATCTTTTTTGCTAAAAGTAAATATAGTTTAGCTGAGTTTGGGAATATTAAATTTGCTACACTGCATTCAAATAAAGGTAAGAATAATCACTAAATTGAACATGGAGAGTAGTCATGGGCCTAACTCAGGGGTTCTTAATCTGGGTCCAGAGACATACCCTGAATTATCTATAGGACTGTGCATTTATCTGGAGGGAGAGTCCATGGTTTTTATCAGCTATTTATTTATTTATTTATTTTTGGCTGCGTTGGGTCTTCGTTGCTGTGGCGGGCTTTCTCTAGTTGCAGCGAGCCGGGGCTACTCTTCGTTGCGGTGCATGGGCTTCTCATTGCGGTGGCTTCTCTTGTTGCGGAGCATGGGCTCTAGGTGCACGGGCTTCAATAGTTGTGGCTCGTGGGCTCTAGAGCGCAGGCTCAGTAGTTGTGGTGCACGGGCTTAGTTGCTCCATGACGTGTGGGATCTTTCTGGACCAGGGCTTGAACCCGTGTCCCCTGCATTGGCAGGCGGGTTCTTAACCACTGCGCTACCAGGGAAGCCCTTTATCAGCTTCTTGAAGGGGCCATTTGTAATGCCTTTCAGAGCAGCAACAAAATTTAGTCCTCATTGTAAGGTTTTTCCAGTTAAAGGAAATGGGTTTTTGAGCCATTTACCAAGTTACTGCCTCAAGGGCCCCAAAACACTGTTCATTGCCTGCTTTGTGATAATAGAAATAAATCCTGTAAATATCAATGCTTCTCCTTTTCCAGCTTTCACGATATTAAGCTTTGTCAGTAAAGAGCACTGGAGGGACACTAGAGGAAGAATAGAATTCTCTACCTGTGTAATGTAGTGTGCTCCCTTAGGCAGGCTCTTACAGCACATGTGGCTTCTGCAGCTCTCAGTTCCAGCAGTGCCCAGTGGCCAGCAGTGTGTAGCACCTCCCATGAACAGGCAACTTTGCAGGCAACACCCATGAGCATCTTTCCCTGGAACCCCATCAAATGGCTTCACATGGAGTACCACCAGTACAACACTGTTCATGAATAGCTTCCCCTCACACCCCTTAGCCAGCTTTTCTCCCTCAGCAAACTTCTCTGACATCAAATGAGCCACAGTCACTGGACTTCTTCAAGGAGGGTCTATCTGAGCCCTTAGGGCAGTAGATGATCACTATATCTGATTTTCCTATATTCTTTAGCATTTTCTTAGTTCTTTGCTATCCATCTCCTTATCACTCCAATTCCTTGTTATAAATGGTAATTCTTTATATTTAACCTTCCATGTTCAAAATATTGTTTGATTTCTGTCTCTTGATTGGACCCTAACTGATACAGAATTGGTATCAGTAGTGATCCCAGGAGAGAAACACACAAAGAATTTGAGGATTGCCATGGTCATGCCCTTTGGCTGGGTTCCTCCCCATTGAGAAGTGAGATGAGGGCATTAAAGTAAGCAAACTGTCATCTGTGGTTGATCGTGATGACATGTCAGCTGAAACAAGAGATTGCCCAGCTCCATGCTGCACTTGACCATTATGGCAGTTAAGATGTCTCTAAGGACAATAGTATGGCATAGAGTCTTCTGAGTGTCCTTTAGCACTTATAGAAAGGAAATCACAAGCTCGTTTCTTTCAACTCTCAGCTCAAGCCACAGTCTAAGACCAGAAAGCTTCCATGATAACTATAAAAGAATCTTTTAGTTCTTTCAGACACAGGGGTGATATTGTCAAAAATCAAGCACAAAATTTTATTATATGGATTGCTGAATTGTAGCAATAGTTGTATTCGCAGTTCCATCAAATTTTTCACACAACAAACTAGCGGTTATCAGTGGCGGGGGCGAGTGGTATACAGGTGGGGGAGTGAGAGGTACAAACTATTGGGCATAAGATTGGCTACAAGGATGTATTATACAACATGGGGAATGTAACTAATGTTTTGTAATAACTGTAAATGGAGTGTAACCTTTAAAAAATGGAGTGTAACCTTTAAACATTTTTAAAAGGAAAAAACAGAAAAGAATGGGCAGAGAAGAAAGACCAGGGTTACAGAAAAAAACAAAGTGTACTAGGCAAAAAGAAAAAGTGTGCCAAGAAAGAAAAACGGAAACCCAAAGTAGGATGCAGCCTGCATTTTTAAACATTATTATCATCATCATTATTTCTAAAATAAAATGGCTAAATTTTTTTTCATTTTTTACATAAAAGTTAAAGCATTGAATGAGAAAGAATGGGATCCTGAAAATTGGAATGGGGACAGCTGCTTGAACACAGAT